CGAGGGTACTTCCGGATGAGTATGGAGGGTATCGGGAGTGAGAGAGAGGAGTTGGAGCAACCCCAAACTCGGCTGGCCCTTCAAATCTATTTATAGGGCAAAATTTGCTCTTGCCACGTCGTGGTACGGTTTACCACGTCGTGGTGGCTGGGTCGTCACTGCATGCGTCATTGCAAGTGGGTCTGACAGACTCCAGAGATCCTGCCACGTCGCGACACTTTTACCACGTCGTGGTGGCTGACAGTTTTGGGGTTTCGTGCCCCGAACTTCAGAAATTCATAATTTTCGAATACGAACTTCGTTTTCGACATTCTTTGTATCGACGCATAGTTGAGAATATGCTCTACAACTCTCTTTTAGACTCCGTTGGAAAAGTTTGACTTTATTTTAATATATTATAAATATATTACTTTTATATTATTTTAGTAGGCCAAGACAGGAAAACTCCGTTATAAATTCATAACTTCCTTCATCTGACGTCCGTTTCCGCCTATCTTTTTATCGTTTCACTACTATTGATGAGATCTTTGATTCTCATTTAGATTGTTTCGGCTAAAAATCAATCGATCTCAAATCGAGGATTCGGGCTGCATACTGCTAAGTCGAAACTTTGGAAAAATCATAACTTCTTCATACGAAGTCAAATTTGGGCGTTTTTTATGCACACGTTCGGTTTAATGTATTCTACGACTTTTGTTTAGATTTCTAAGGCTAAATATTGCTCTAACGTAAATTCACTTTGTACGTCATTTAGTGTCGTGTTGGTTCTGTCGTGAAACTTCGACGCGTCATAACTTCTTCATTATAACTCGCATTTCGGTGTTCTTTATATTCATGGAATCCTTGTAACATATACTAAAACTTAGTTAATATTACTCCTTCTAAATAATCTTCCATAAAAAAGTCATTTTTGACGCTTATCGTCTCTAAATTGATTAGCCTGGATCTACGGGCGTTACATCAACTTATTTTATCTCTCTTCCCTCTCTTCTTCTACTCTCGACCGAGAGCATCAACACACACACACATAATTCATTCCCTAATCTTTCCAAACTCTCTCAAGAATACCTTCATTCCTCCATCAAAATTTAGAGACTTAGGGCATTTTAAGAGGGTTCTTCCATAAGAAATCATCATTCTTGGTAAGTTTATGCTTGGATCCATGATCTAGTTTCTTTGTTTTATCAAAATTCTATTCTTAGCTTATGCAAACTCGTGATCATCCTATAAACATCCTAAGTTCGCGATCCACTCAAGAAAGCTTGTTAGGGCCGAAAATAACATCAAACTCTTCCATTTCTTTCTTCAAAACCGAACCCACAAACCCAAGGTGAGTTCATACCCCTTCTATTTTCGGTTTTCACAAGTTTCATGTAGGAGAATACAAGTAAAATGTGTAGATCTATGTGTATGTGTATGTTATGTGTGATTTCATGTGTTTATGTGGTAAATATGTGCCAAAAATGAAAGAAATCTCGAGATCTATAGCTCAAGGAGGAAAGATACGTGATCTAGGATATATTACACTTAACAAGGCAAGAAAAATTATCATCTAAGGTTATAATAAGCATGTTACAACATAAAACTCATTTTTGGGCTATTTTTGTCAAATAAACAAAAGTTGGGATAAAGGTTGTCATTCACGGTTTTTATAAGGACCAAAAGGGTCAAAACAGTTAAAATAGAAGTTTTTATGAATATTATGCTCTTCAAAGGACTAAAAGTGTAAATTGTAGCCTATTGGGCCAAACTTTGGGCTTTGCAGCCCATAGGCCCAAATTTGCAAAAAAATGGGTTTTAAGGGGATGAAATGGTAAATTTCTCAAAACAGTGGGTAAAAAGGTAAATAAATCTATTTCAGGGGTTAAAATGACCCTTTTTGCCAAAAATGATTAAATATGCAAAGTTTTTGGATTTTGGATCAAATTTGTAAAAGTTGCAAAAAGTTTGGACTATAAATGAAAATCTTTCTACTAAAGGGGCTGAAACTGCCAAAAAATAAAACTTTGGGCTGAAAACACTATTTAAATAAGTCTTTGGGCCAGAATGTTAAGAAAGATAGTTTAAGGACCTAAAATGTCATTTTTTTATAAAAAGGGACAAAAATTGTCATTTTTATTAAAGAAAGGGCTGAAAATGTCATACCAATATTTTTGAATCAATTACTTTATTTTTAAGATATTGGGTCAAAAATACCAAAATCCTAACTAGGAATTTAGAATGGAAAAATGTGCATGTATTTTCATTAATTTAAATATCGTTATAAAACAATCGACAAACTTCGCGCCTTTGCGATTTAACAATTGATAAATCAAACCTTCCGACAATTATACCATACTTAAAACAAGTAAATATTCAAAATGTTGGGCTTGAAAGACTCTAATCATGCTTATTGGACCTTCGTGACCATTAACATGAATTTTGGGCCTAACAATAATAATATATGTTTATTGGGCTTCCTTAGACCCAATTTCATTCTTAAGGGACCCTCAATGGCAACTACATGTTGTTGGGCCTTAGTGGCCCACTAGCATTGCTAGTAAGATCCAAATATATCATATTGCGAAATAGGCCAACGCGCCTTTCGTATACTCGACAGCCTTAGATAACATATGCGATTAGTGGGACCTCGTGGTCCTCTACTCCTCATCTGTTAGACTTATCTTCTATTTAAGTAAACCAAAAATTAGGTCGTTAATCAAGAGTAATCAAATTCATTTGGATTAAGTGAGTAATAACAGACGACACCATTAAGTGTCGGTCGTAGTCTGTATTTATAATAAAAGTCTCTTGGAGGGAGAGCGAGAGTTTGTGTATAGATCTATACGGGGGTGACTCTCTCACACCTCAGTTGTTTGCTACAGTTAGACTCGGCCAGTTTAGGGTGATAAAATCTTAAGATCAATTACGGCGTTCGCTAGAATGCCAAGACAGACGAACTAGTCATTATCATGCATGATTGTAACGACTTACATAAAATTCAATATCACCTATGTAATCAAGGGAAATCATATTTAGTCGTTGTGGTGATATAATAATACAAAACGTTCATACTACTTATCGGAAAACATCGGGTTTTTCGGGGGAAATCAACATTAGTCACTTGTACTTTCAATGTAACGCATAACATATAAGCTAAACCTTCCTCGGGCTTGCCCTGACATCAGTCTGAAGCTCGGAACACATAAACAAACACAAACAAGAATCACAAAGACATCAAGCATACAAACATTCCTCGGGCTTACCCCGACATTGGACCAAAGTCCAGAAACATATAACTACATCGGGCTAACCGCGACATTGCTAACATACATGAACAGGCCGACCTTGGTGCCTTAGACCCGTTCCTACTGGAAGAGGACTCAACAAGAGAATGTAATGCCATAAGGATTTCCCTCGTCTGTAGAACAATCTGGAAGGCATACCTACCAACACAAATTCACAAATAATAGTGTCATCATAACAAATAAAATTTTTTTTACAAGTTTCTCAACATAACATGCATACCGTTTATGTAAGCATTTTTGATTCTTTAAGTCATCCATCATTTTCTTCACAAAATCTAGAATTACCACATCTCCATCTATTCTTGCTCCAATATACTATTGCTCCACATCTACATTTCACAATAAATAAATAAAAAAAACCTCATTATTATAAAAATAAACGAATTTAAGGTGCATAATTTAATCCAAGCATAAAACAGAAGCTTTTATATGGATGAGGGGAATTGGGAAGGAAGAAAATATAAAAGTTATAAAACACAAGTGCATACTAATCATGAGTCTTATATTTTAAGATTTGAATCTTTCACGGGGTTGTTTATATGTGATTAATTTTTAAGCTTTAATTTTTTTTTTTGTGATCCTTACTAAGTTCAAACCTATGTTGAGTACTTGACTCTTGGTTAAGAAACCAGGAGTGGAGCCATCCTCCCACCAAGTCCAACCTGAGTTTTTGAGTTTGACCACCAAAAAAGTTGTGATTGTTGAAAATGCCACCACAATGGCTGCAATGGGCCCCACCACCAGCATCACTACAGCAACGTATTTTTTTGGTGTCAGGGTGTCCTAGAGGCGACAATTAAGAGCAATGAATTCTCCAAATGATTCAAGAGGCGACAGTTAAAAGTAAGGAATGTGTCACCGACTCTCCTGTGCAGTGTGTTTATGTTCCATTGGTCTTTGGGTATGTTTGCCCTCAACGGTACAGTGGAATTTTGGTTCATAGTAGACTTGACTTTGACAACCTTCAAGATTGTCTTATTACTCTTATAAATCATTATCTCAAATAAAAATCTACAAACAACTAATTGGATGGTCACCATATAAAACTAAGTTATTTCAAAATATTCATTAAAATTTAGATTATTTTATGAAAAACCTTATAAATATATAACTATTTAATATTTTATCAAAAAAAAATAATAATAAGTTACTAATTTTTATTGTGTGTAGTAGTTGTAGACTATCCTAGCTAAAAAAAAAAAAAAAAGAAAGAAAAGAAAAAGGGGGGACGTATCACAAATCCCAATAAATAAATAAAGGTCCCTTGTGTTTTGTGAACCTTATCCATCCATATTCCCCATACCCAACGTTAAAGGGTAAATACGTCATTTCACTACTTCCCGGGAAAAAGTCCGTATTTCCCGTTCATCGTCGTCGCCATCCCTCATCACCACCAAAAAAAAAAAAAGATTAAGAAATTAAAACCCTAAGCGTTTGTGGTTGAGCGAAGTAAAGATTCACGAGGTTTCAGATTTCAACCCACTTTTGGTATTCAGTCTCTATCTCACTTCACCAACCAAAATCAACTCACAATCCCCTCCCCAATCCATGTGATCGGTATCTTGCCACGTTGTTCGACGTTCAACTGTTTGATTGTGATGATCTCCTCCTGATCAGATGAAAATCGACTAGTTATTTCTGTGAATGATTACCACGTGGCTGGAGGACTTTTGATTTGGGTTTTTAGGGTTTTGATTGCTGTGGAAGAATAAGATGGATCGATCGGCACTTACGATGGGTCCAGGTATGGATATGCCGATTATGCATGATAGTGATCGATATGAGCTTGTACGAGACATTGGTTCAGGTAATTTTGGCGTCGCGAGGTTGATGAGGGATAAACTGACTAACGAGCTTGTTGCAGTCAAGTATATCGAGAGAGGTGAGAAGGTCAGTCTTCAAATCGAGTTCTTTTACTCCATTTTTAATTTCTTCACTATTTTTCAAACTCGTTGATACCCTTTACCACGATTCCAACAGATAGACGAAAATGTGCAAAGGGAAATTATCAACCACAGATCACTCAGGCACCCCAACATTGTTAGATTCAAAGAGGTTCTTTCTTCAAACTTTAGAATAATACTTATATCAGGAATCAAAAAGGGCTTTTTAGTAATGATTTTCTATTGATTTCCAGGTCATTTTGACACCAACTCATCTTGCTATTGTAATGGAATATGCATCTGGTGGAGAATTGTTTGAGCGCATATGTAATGCTGGGAGGTTTCCAGAAGATGAGGTTTGTAACTCTGTATATGATGCATTTATTTATACTAACATCTGTATTCATATTCGTTTTAAAGAATTAGTGATAACTGTGTTGCAGGCGCGATTCTTTTTCCAGCAGCTCGTTTCAGGAGTGGGTTATTGTCATAATATGGTATTTTATAAAATTATAACTATTACTATTTTCATATATTTTGTAAATATAATATCAGAAAATAATGTAATACTATATGTTTGTATATTATGTAGCAAGTATGTCATCGCGACTTGAAACTGGAAAACACACTTTTAGATGGCAGCCAAGCTCCCAGGCTCAAAATCTGTGATTTCGGATATTCCAAGGTATAAAATGTATTATTATTATTATTATTATTATTATTATTTTTAATCCATTAATGTTTTGAAAATTAATATTATGTGGTTCTTGATTTAATCAGTCATCTGTTCTGCATTCACAACCGAAATCAACGGTTGGAACACCTGCATATATTGCTCCTGAAGTCTTACTAAAGAAAGAATATGATGGCAAGGTTAGCGATACTGTAAAAAGCAACAATTTTCTTCTTTTACGTATCACATGATTTAGGGCATATAATAAGAAGGGCGTTTGCGTCTTTTTGCACAGATGGCAGATGTGTGGTCATGTGGTGTAACATTATATGTAATGCTTGTGGGAGCTTACCCTTTTGAAGACCCTGAAGAACCTAAGAATTTTCGCAAGACAATACAGGTAATTACTAATTACTAATTACACAGTAGTTTTTTAACAGCTTCCCATTTGCAAATACAAATACTTGACTCGAGTGATAGAATTTTTTTTGCAGCGAATTCTTAACGTTCAGTACTCGATTCCAGCCTATGTTCATATTTCCACCGGATGCCGCCATTTGATCTCCAGAATCTTTGTAGCTGAACCTTCTAAGGTTTTCTAAGTTCAATTTTTTTTTTTTTTTTTAATCTAATTAACATAAGTCACAAGTCACAATCACACCTTTTTTAGTAGTCACCTTTTTGTGTGGGACAAAAAAGGTGCAGTTTATGTCACATTGACAATGTATGTTTTGTCTTGTGCAACATAACAAATGCGCCTGATTTGTTTATTTGTTGGTGATGTGGAACAGAGAATAACGATGGATGAGATTAGAAACCATGAATGGTTTATGAGGAACCTTCCGGGAGACCTTATGAATGATAATGCAATAGATCAATTTGGAGGGCCGGAGCAACCCACACAAAGTGTTGATGAAATTATGCAGATAATAGCGGAAGCTACAATTCCCCCAGCTGGGGCCCACAACCTCAACCAGTATCTGACTGGCAGCCTGGACATCGATGATGACATGGACGAGGATCTTGAAAGTGATCCGGATCTTGATATTGACAGCAGTGGGGAGATTGTATACGCCATGTAAGGTTATAGATACTTTCATAATCCTTGTAATTTATCATCATCATCATCATCATCATATACCACGAAAGACGGGGTTTTATCGTGTTTGGTCAACGTATTGTTGTGAAACATATGATTGTTGTATTGTATGTTTTTGCCCAGTTAATCGGCATATATGTACTCATAAAAAGATTGTAAATTGTTGTATGACAGATTTACACGTGCTTTGTTTGTAAAAAGTTACATCTTAATGGGGAAAGTCTTGTTTCTTGATTTTCTGCATTAAGTCTAAAAGAAACACCATGTTATGGAATTAATTCATGTATGGGATCCTTTCACTTTTAGTAGTATGTTATGGAACTCAAGTTTTTTTTCTTTTTCGAATTGAAGTCAAATAGTTAGTCTTAAGTTGATACAGTGTTTTGATATATTGGGTGTTTGGGATTACTTATTTAAAACGCATTATGTCTTTTTGTAAAATTGTTATTTGCGTATCTGGTGTCGATAATGTATATGTAATAAGCTGATAAGTTATGTTTTAGTGTTTAACAAAGTTTATTTATACATGTAAAATAACCCAAAGTAACATCTTACATTTCTGTCAACTTTTTTTTTTTTGGAATATAACGATTTATTTCTTTATCATTTATAACAAAAAGTTGATACAATTTTATATCAATAAATTTAAAAAAGATAATTTCATGAATGGTCATATGGTTTTTAGACAAAAGTGTCTACTTAAGATGACGTTGTTCAAGATTACATCACTCGTCATGCGGCTTTCAAATCAAACAAGTTTTCTCCTCTTCCTTTTTAGCTAATTATGTTTACTTTTAGCTGCCATCTGTTTCGTGATATGATTATTTTTCAAATATTTATTTACAGTTTGATTTTAAGCAAGTGTTTTGATATATGGTCAAATAATTTGTAGATTTGAACATTTAAAAACTATTTGCGTCTGTTGACAGTGATTCATGGTGCTCATTCCGAAGGCAAATACATGAGAAATATGTTCCTAGTGGTTACCATGAATGTAAACAACCAAATCTTACATATGGTTCTCATAGCAAGAAAAATAGAATGTAGATTCATGAGTTTGGTTTTAATTGAGGCTAAACAAATGTATTAAATAGATGGGGAATTTAGCCATCATACCAGTTTGTTTCCAAATGCTTATCATAGACTTTGATGTTGATATTTGCTCATGAATTTGCGATCAAAGATCAAAAAAAAAAAAAAAAAAAAAAATCAAATAGTGGAAATGGTGTTTTGCCAGATATGCAAGGCATATAGAATGTCTAATTTTCATATGTTCAACACTATGATGCCAAATGATGCACAGACGATCAGATTGAATGACAAAGTACAACCAACAAGAACATAAAGAACAAAGATAACTCCAAAAATGGATTCTTTATAAAATAATCAAAAAAACTCTCTAACAAACAATGAAAACGAGATACTTATAAGGAGGATATGATAAATTTCATTCCTTAACACTAGCATATCATAATTGATTAGGAAAAGATATACCTCATTCCTCATCCATGTCTTAGCTCCGGGTGAATGGGAATACCTATATGAAGTGATCAAAGTTAAATAACCATTAATGTTGATGGATAAACATTGATATGGATGCCTACGAAAGGTTAAGTGTGTTCCATCCCAAGGGAAGGGTCCCATAATCAAAACATGCAATAGTTGTCACAAAATGGGACAAACACACATTATGTACTGCGTGTTGATCCGAGAAAGCCATGATCATAAAGTAGGAGCAAGTCTTAGTCTAAGGTGAATGCTAGTCAACAACATAGTCAAAAACATCAAACATTTTATTTAAATAACCCGTAGAATTATACGTTTATCGAATTGAATGTTATTTGGTGTTCACAAAATAAAAAAAATACCGTGATATTCATCTAAGTATGTATCATACTTCAAACATCATACTCATCATTTAATAAGAAGTAATAAGACAAATGAATACTTATATATATATATATATATATATATATATATATATATATATATATATATATATATATATATATATATATATATATATATATATATATATATATATATACCTAACAACCTTATATAAGCTTAGGTACCTAACCACATCATACTACGTAATTTTGTATCATATCTGCATTGTAATCACCCGGAGTTCTTAAAATTCAACCTCATAACTTGATTGCTTCCAAAATCTTTGGATTTTTACCATTATCTTCCTTCAAATGACATCTTTCTATCGAAGACCCCTTGGTGGGCTTTATATACTACCGTTACAAATCAAATGGTATAGGAGGAATATAATGATGAATCTTTGAAAATCTTGGAAGTAAATCAAGTTAAGGGTTGAAGTTTAAGAACCTTAGACAATTGCAATGGAAATATAATGCAAAACGATGTAGTATAATGTGGTTAGGTACCTAAGCTTATATAAGGTTGTTAGGTATATTCACTTTACCCATATATATATATATATATATATATATATATATATATATATATATATATATATATATATATATATATATATATATATATATATATATATATATATATATATATATATATATATATATATATATATATATATATATGGGTGTGTGTGAGTAAGATTTTAGTGATCCGTGTAAGTGATCCTACCTTGAAGCAAAACGTTTGCATTTTTAAACGAAACTTTTGTTTAAATCGACTTTTTTGGTTAAAAAACAAGTTAGAAACTCTTAAACATTTGCTACCAAACACATCCATATGTATCTCGTGAAAAACCATTGTATTTGAGCTTTTAATAAAATGATTATATATAATTCTAGAAGATATGTAGAATATTTTCGTTTATGTATTTATGTAATAAATTTTGTTTAACCGAGTGATGCTAAATACTTATCTTATATCTTATATCTTATACTATATATAAAACATATTAGTTATATCTTGAATTTTAAGAGGTACAAGCTACAATGTTTTTTTGTACAAATCAATTATCCATAACAAAACCATTAATATTTGCCAAAACTTTAAAGGCTTGAATTAAGGAAGATTATTAAAAAAAATAATTTGAAGCAAAATAACAATTTTAAAATATTAAATCCATCAATATAAGTTAATTTACATTTCTTAAACTAGATACTGATAATAATTAATTTACATCAAATGTATTAAGATACAATATAAATAAAAGTTCTAAACATAAATATTTTAATTAAAAGTTGTAATTTTCTTATTACAAAATAACTAATAACAAAATCTAATAATTATTTTCACGTAAGAAAACTATTCACCATAAAAAATTATTTATCGCTGCTACTTTGCACGAGCACACATCTAGTATTTAGTTAAGATTTTTGGTGTTAAATTTATGATTTAATTTTGTAACAATTTATTAGCATTCACTATAGTCGATTCTTGGATTTTGACAGCGTTTTTTTTTTTCAATAAATGACTTCAAAACGTAATTTGAATGTGATTATCATATAATTTTTCTGTAACAACGGTTTAAATTAGCAACATTTGTTGCATTAGAATTTAATTGGTGTATTCTAATAATTATTCTAAAAATATTTGACATCTTGATATGTATGAAAGAAAACATCTCTATTCTAATATATATATATATATATATATATATATATATATATATATATATATATATATATATATATATTGGAAAAGAGGGCAACGCCTCCAGCAAATGCATTAAAAAGAAATTAAAGAACAGGTATAATACAAGCTAGAAGGAAAGACCGACTAGCAAAGAGTTAATCCAGTTGTTGGAACCCAAACCACGACATAATTAAGAAAATTACAAAGGAAAATACTGATACTCATAAAGCCCACAAGCCATAAGATTAGACCGTCGGGAATAAACCACGACCCCTCAACCAAATTAAGTACCATAACCATTTTATTGATTGGCTGCTAATTGATAGGCCTAGGAATTTTCCATATTTTGTACACCTCTTCCATATGAGCTGATCATTTGAAAGGAACACCACAAAACCGAGTTTCAGAGAGTTGAGAACTTGATTTACCAGTTTTGCTTGGGAAGCAGTGCTTCCATTGTGATGACGAGAGTTCCTTTCTCTCCAAATGAAATAGATCGTGGCGGCCAAAGCAAGTTTCTTAATTTCTGTTTGTAAGTGATTGCTTTGAAGGCGAGGAATTTGGTACTCGATTATTTGTTTCAACCTCATGCAAAAACTAACATTCAAAGAATAAATGGGTCATCAAGTCAGGCACCATCTTACAAAACATACACTTGAGGTTCGTCGCATTTTTCCATATTTGCATTCGTTCCTGTGTCATCAATCTATCATGAATGGCTAGCCAAAGAATGAAAGCATGGCTTACAAAACATAACCAAACCACCTTACACAAAGGAACAACCGGGCTAGCTATCCTGATATCCTTCCACACTTGAGTATGGAAAAACTCAACACTCTTTCCTTCCAAGTCCCGCCAATAAACCCCATCATCTTTATTTATTTCGAGATTAGGAAAACCTTGGAGTTGGGTATTAGGGAACCGAACTCCCCATTCCCAAGGCCATCTCGAGCTATGATTACTACAAAACTGGTGCAACGTGAGGTCGTTGGATAGCCCATGAAGAATTTTAATCTCCTTTTATCAAATGTCAATATTATATCATATGTCATGTAGATATGTTAGACAACTTATTTCAAAATTTAAATTTATATTTTCTAATTATATGTTAAATTTGAAGTTATAATAACTTTAAAAATTTAATATATTTTTTAATTAATAATTTATTTAAAATAATTGAATAATAATTATAATTTTTTATTATAAAATTTTAATTAATTTTATAACATATGGTTCCACGTAAACTAATGTAATTATAATTAAAGTCTTTTCTTGAACTTTTTACTTATTAATTAATTTATCCACACACACGAAAAAAAAAAAAAAAAAAAAAAAAAAAAAAAAAAAAAAAAATAGAATACCATGAACTTCCTTAATCAAAAGACGATAAAACTCGCTACCTGGGCTCCTCTTTTCCGCCGCCGCAACACGGCGGATGCACCATCACAACCTTCCTTTTATCGGCCCACATACTTTTCAAGTGTCAAACGTTTACCTACATTGATTCTTAACTTCATGGATTCAATTTAAGCTCTACAATCACTGAAAACCATCACATTCTTGATTAAATTAGTGTGCAGGGTGTCTCTTCCTCTAAACCCTAGTGATTCAATTCCAATTCTCCAAGCACCACCTATTGGACAGTTTTCTTGATTATCAAGACGCACATATAGTTATATACACATAATTACTTCATCGCGGCTTTTTAACCGGGTTTATGGAAGACAAATACAGTGTTGAATCTGCAGAAGCACTTGCGAACGAAGCATTGGTAAGACACATGAAAATTTGCATGAAATTATAAAGTCATTATCTTGTTTTTGTTTTTAATCTCATGAGTTCCCCTTTGTTATTTATCAGCGGTTGCCAATATCGGAGGCAGTGCCTATCTATGAGCAGCTATTGGCCACGTTTCCCACAGCGGTAAGTTCATGATTACTCTTTTCTTAAAAACAATCATATGAATTTTTAACTTACAACAAGTAACCACGTCAAATCTTGTAAGAAGTGATACGCAATTACATCCAGAAATTTAAGGGTGTTCAGATTGTAATGCAAACGCCTCAATTTTCATATTAGGGTTTCGAATTAAAAGATCAACTGTTTGATTGTGTGTTGCTTCTTAGGCAAAATATTGGAAGCAATATGTAGAAGCACATATAGCTGTCAATAATGATGATGCAACAAAACAGATATTCAGCAGATGCCTATTGAATTGCTTGCAGATACCTCTTTGGTATGACTTTTCTCTATAGTTTTACTTTCACCATTCAATGTTGCCAATATGGATTATGTTACAAACTTTCAATAATCTATCTTGCAGGCGTTGCTATATAAATTTCATCAGAAAAGCCAATGAGAAAAAGGGGTTAGAGGGTCAAGAGGAAACTAGGAAAGCTTTTGACTTTATGTTGAGTTATGTTGGTATGATTCATGCTTTCATTCTACTATTGTTTACTTAATTGTCTTTC